ACAATGGGAGGATTTTTATTTCAAATCTACCAGAAATTCGATTCTTCTTGCGGACTAGGGTTCCCTTTTCTAGTGTGTATGGAGTGATTCAATTCCTTGCTCTACGGTCCGATTATCCGTCAAAGTCACTTTCAGAATTCGTGCGCGTAAAAGTGCCAGTTTTCTCGTGAATCCTTCCCCGTTTTCTTTTTTTTGAGTTAAAAGATTTTGTACAACGGATCTTTTATGGCGTATATATGAGCTCCTCGGCTCGGATTCTTACGCATTTACCCACATCCGCCGGACACATTTTTACACCATTTGTCTTTGTAATCTTGGTGAGATCGTTACTACTATTCGTAATGGACGATGGGCATAGGCCATATCTTGTCATGCTGTCTTTAAAATTGCATTCGGCTTATTGTTCGCATCACCGTTTTTACTAGCAAACCACGAAGGGGGTGGAGCATTGGACGAATGGGCTGTAAGAGCATTCTTAGGGCACTAATTAACTTGTAATTATTACTTCATAAAGTATAACGACTTGTGTGTTTTTTCGGTCCACAGGCTGGGTTCTCCTGGATCGCAGTGGCAAGCACTTCCATCTGATCCTCAACTACCTTCGCGATGGTTCTGTTCCATTGCCTGACAATCGACAGGATCTCGAAGAGCTCCTTATCGAAACACGCTTCTACTGCCTGGAAGGTTTACGACGCATTTGCGAAGAGAAGCTGGAAAAGCTGGTAGCAGAGACACAGGAAAAACCCAATGCGGCAAGCATCTACATTGTTAAGTACCCCAAAGTCACAAAAGCTATATTTGCTTCCACGAAAAAGGTAATCCTGCTTTTGTTTGTTTCGCTCATTTCTCGTTTTTGGGAGTGTTTTGAATTTGGTGTTTGCACAGTTTTGGGAGTTTGTAAGACCTATAAACCAGTGATTTACTTTTTGTATTTTATGGATGTAACTTTCAGCAGTGTACACCTTTTGGATATTGTCTCAATCTAATTTGCACTGAACGAGTAATTTCTGGAAATGAATTAAAGCAGGCGCTTGGATTCACTTCAGACGTCCAAGTGGGCCCGTTCAACTCCTTGGGCCTATTAGTCATAGGCGGGGTTTTTATTGGTCTTGATCTAGCCCCACATTTTTGGGAAGTGTATCCACCCTATTAGGTCACGTGCTTGTGTGTGGACTTTAGTAGTGTGTATCATTTTCCAATCCATTTTCTAGCCAGTCGTCAAGTTAACCA